CCTTCCCCTCCCCACAACAGACACCCTGTGAGCAGTGTTCCCTCTAAGGTGAGTTACTGTGAGCTAGCTCACCGTTTTTTAGCCTCCGGCTCACACATTTTTGTCTTGGCTCAGGAAGGAGGGCTCCAGAGCAAACTAATTTATGCAGTAGCCAAATCGCTTGCTCACAACCTTAATGCCAGGAGCTCACAAAGTAGAATTTTTGCTCACAGGACTCCACAGCTTGGAGGGAACATTGCCTGTGAGGTGGGTGGGGCTGAGAGAGCTCGTGACAGAAACGGCTCTTTTCAAAGGACAGCTCTGACAGAGCTTGTGACTGACCCAAGGTCACATCAGCAGGTGCAAGTGGAGGAGTGGGGAATCAAACCCGGTTCTCCCAGATTAGAGTCCGCACACATAACCACTACACCAAACAGAAGTGATGTCATCACATTGCCAGGGACACTCTGATATTTAGCCCAAAAGCTCTATGGTAAAAATGACCCTCACCACAGAGTTTTTGCCCAAATACCAGAGTGTCCCCATGTCACCCGTGATGACAGTGCTTAGTTCTTGTGGCTCTTTTTTACACACCCAGGGAAATGCTGATTGCCACTTTGGGGTCAGGAAGCAATCCTGGAGTTTTTTTTGTCATCTTCTAGGCGTGGAACAGGGGTCACTGTGGGTGTGGAGGGGGAGGTATTTGTGGATTTCCTGCCTTGTGCAGGGGGTTGGACTAGATGACCCTGGAGGTCCCTCCCAACTCTATGATTCTATGACATGGTAGTCATTTTTTGGTTGTGCCCACCAACTTGTGTTGGGATTCCAGATACGCTCACAGGCTCAAACATTTCGAGGACCCATGAGCCAGAGTACCAGAGATAATCTGAATTAACAGTAGCCATACCAGGCTACAGACAGAACAGCTCCTCTTACGGCTGCCTGCCGTACACAAAATGTCAGGATTAATCCGAATTACTGTTGGCTGCAACCTCCTCGCCATCGTAACCAGTTCTTCCTGTACAAACAGTTAATACCCATTGTTCATTCATGACACCCCAGTCTGTCAATCGGGTTTCTTGTACAACTAAAGTTTTGGCTCTCAGCTGAAGAAAGGCTGGAGACAGAGACGCATTTGCACACGACAGCTGCAAGAGCAGATGTTTTACTGCTCCAGCCTGGAAACGCTATGGCTTTTAGCTCACTATCCTTGAAGAGCAGATAGATTATTTTCTAAATACCAACTGCTTTTGCTGCCGACTGGACACACAAGCCCTGCTGCCGTGCAGAGAGAACTTTCTTGTACATTTTAAACCACACTGTTTTCGAGAGGTTTAGTCAATGGAAAATTAGTCGGCTCTGTTTTCTTTTCGAATGCATTTCATCGCTGTGGAAAGCCTTACCACAAGAGAGCGGCGACAGGCAGCTGGTTTCCCACCACCCTATTTAAAGGAAACTGTTCTTTAAGCTTTAGTTTTTTAGACACCACATCATTATCCTGTCATCTATAAAAGCTCAGACGATTACACGGACAGTGAGAAAGCGCTCTCAGACGACTTCGGTTAAATGGTACCAACTGCTGGTTACGCCGCTGACAGGAAAAACCAAACGTAGAAGCCGAGGTCTTGAAGGAGATTCATGTTGTTCTAATTATTTACAGCGGGGGGAAAACAATCTATACAGCTATTTCGTCACATTAGCCATTTCTATAGCATTTCCCCCCTCACAACTGAGGAACCCTATAGCCTGTACTCTGTAGCTGCAGAATGAACTGCCCTGACATAGGGGCTACAGGTTAGAAGAAGAAGAAGAGATGGGATTTATACCCCGCCCTTCACTCGGAGTCTCAGAGCGGCTTACACATTCCTTTCCCTCCCCCTGCCCACAACAGACACCCTGCGAGGTAGGCGGGGCTGAGAGAGCTCTTTCCAGAACTGTCCTTGAGAGAACAGCTCTGACAGAACTATGGCTTGCCCAAGGTCATCCAGCAGCTGCAAGTGGAGGAGTGGGGAAACAAACCCGGTTCTCCCAGATTAGAGTCCACACCCTTAACCACTGCACCAAAAAGGCCGTTAAATGGCTGCGCACCAAGGAGGTGTATGGATATCATTGCTACGTTTTCCCTGTTAACCAGAGGACCACAATGTGGTGGTCCTGGGGCCCACGACAACCTCCTTGGAGCCCACCAAGTGTTTTTAGGAAGTGGCTGGGTTCGGCTGGGGCTCTTACCCAGAAAGGCATCATGTATTGTGTTCCGTTTGGGGTGCCACAGTTTAAGAAGGAAACAGACAAGCTGGAACGTGTCCAGAGGAGGGCAACGAAGACGGTGAGGGGTCTGGAGACCAAGTCCTGTGAGGAAAGGCTGAAGGAGCTGGGTCTGTTTGGCCTGGAGAGAAGGCGACTGAGAGGTGACGTGATAGCCTTCTTCAAGTACTTGAAGGGCTGTCATATTAGAGAGGATGGTGTGGAGTTGTTTTGTGATGCCCCAGAACGTCAGACCAGAACCGACGGGTTGAAATTAAATGAGTTTTCGGCTAAACATCAGGAAGAACTTCCTGACAGAGCAGTTCCTCAGTGGAACAGGCTTCCTGGGGAGGTGGTGGGCACTCCTTCTCTGGATGTTTTTGAGCAGATGTTAAGATGGCCACCTGACAGCCATGCGAATTCTGTGAACTTGGGCAGATCACGAGAGGGAGTGCAGGGAGGGTTGCCTCAGTGCTTAGTTCTCGTGGCCCTCTCTTACACGCCCGGGGAAATGCTGATCGCCACTTTGGGGTCAGGAAGCAATTGCTCTCCGGGCCAGTTTGGCCGGGGATCCTGGAGGGTTGGGGGCGGGGTTGCCCTCTACTGGGCACAGAGCAGGGGTCACTGGGGGTGTGTGGGGGGGGGAGGTATTTGTAAATCTCCTCCACTGTGCAGGATGACCCCGAAGGGCCCTTCCAACTCTATGGTTCTATGACTGGGCCCTGGAGATCTGTGTGGCTGCACAGATTAAAGAATGTTTCAGCACCGGCCGCCGCCACAGCGTTGGTTCTAATCTCCCTCATTCCTGTTTCCCAATGTGTTCTTTAAATCCAATTCCAATTCCAATAACCTTTATTGGCATAACGTATTTTTTAAAATCACCCCCTTCTCCTCTGCACTTGGGGCTTCTTCATGTGGGTGGCTCTGCCCTGGCGGCGGCCATTTTGTGGCCAGGTCGCTGCCGACTTATGGGGACCCCAGCGAGGGGCTTTCTCAAGGCAAGTGAGAAGCAGAGGTGGTTTGCCGTCGCCTTCCTCTGCTTTCCTTCCTGGAGGTCTCCCAGCCAAAGACTAACCACAGCTGACCCTGCTTAGTGTCTGAGATTGGGCTACACCACGCCACCTTCCTTCCCAGGGATTGAGCACAAAGACAGAAATAAGCGAGTTAACATACCCACCCCCCTACTGGGTTTTCAGCTTGGCTTGGGAAACCCATCCAACTCTGCCTGGTCCCCTCACAGAGCTGGGCTGGTCCTGACCCTAACGGCTGGGGTGAAGAATGGCACAGGCCACGATGGTGGTGAATGTCGTAAAATTGGTAGTGCAAGGGCACCTCTGTGAAGTATGGGTGCTACATCTATGCCTAAGAAGCACAGGCTGAGGACGTTAAACGGGCAAGCGGTGCCCAATGCCCCCTCTAAGCCGTGGAGTCTTGTGAGCAAAAATCCTACTTTGTGAGCTACTGGCATTAAAGTTATGAGCGAGTGATTTGACTGCTGCTTAAATCAGTTTGCTCCGGAGCCGTCCTTCCTGAGCCGAGACAAAAAGGTGTGAGCCGGAGGCTAAAAAACTGTGAGCTAGCTCACACCGACTCAGCTTAGAGGGAGCACTGGCGGTGCCCCAAGAGGGCCAGGAAGTGCCTTTGGAGAAGAGGGGAAAACCAGAATCGACCCCTTAGGCTGGTTTAACTACTGATCTAAACAACGCATCACTTCAAAAAGGATGTGGATGGAATGGAGCGGGTGCAGAGGAGAGCGACGAGGATGATCGGGGGCCTGGAGACCAAGCCCCACGAGGAAAGGCTGAGGGACTTGGGAACGTTCAGTCTGGAGGAGAGGAGGTTGAGGGGGGACACGATGGCTCTCTTGAAATATCTGAAGGGCTGTCACTTAGAGGAGGGCAGGGAAGCTGTTCCTACTGGCAGTAGAGGAGAGGACTCGGAAGAATGGGTTTAAATTAAGGGCGGGGAGGTACCGGCTGGATCTTAGGAAACACTTTTTGACAGTCAGAGTTGTGCGACAGTGGACTCAGCTGCCTGGGGAAGTGGTGAGCTCCACCTTGCTGGCAGTCTTGAAGCAGCGGCTGGACAAACACTAGTCAAGGACTGATCCTGCACTGAGCAGCGGGTTGCACTAGATGGCCTGTATGGCGCCTTCCAGCTCTCTGATTCTATGGTAACAGGCTTCTCAAATTTTCAGGATCGGTACAGCACGCCAACCTTCCCCCAATCCGCAGCTTCATTACAACTATCTCCGGATGTTTTCGACACACTCTCCCCAAATACCTGCTAAAATTAGTTCCAACCTTTAGACCTAATCCTGTTTTAATTGCCCCGAGTGCAGGGCGGGCGCCGCAGCACACGGAATGCCATCTCTCCCTCTCCCAATTCAGAGACTTGGAAGGAGCCCAAGTCGTGAGCACACGAACCTTTGCGCTTTGCAAAAAGAGTTCACAAACCACAAAGCGAGAGGGATGAGGTTTTTTTTTTCTGAACAGCTGCAGGTTCTAGGCTGAGATGAGGCATTTCCTGGCCGCGATCCTTCCTCTTTTGGCTCTAGACCACAAAGACCGTGCTAAAATATCCGAGCGCAGCTGCGGAAGGCCGAAATGGAAGCGCGCCCGGTTCTACTCACCCTTCCTCTCCGACAAAGGTGACGTACAGCTTGTTCCTTTGCAAGTCCTTTCTCGAGTAGCCCATGATTTGGTTGAAGGCATCTTCTAGCAAGTGGTCTCTCCTGATAATTAATCTGCACGGGGAGACAAACTGGAGTCAAACTGGAGTCACAATCTGTGGTTTGATGTTTTCTTTTCCCTGTGACATTTAGGCTGCATGGTGGGGGGGGGAATAACTATCACAGACCACAGATTGTCTCGCCTTTCATCCGACATGAGCGATTTAATACTTTGTCAGTTCGGAGAATGCTTTCCTGGGCTTTTGGTGAGGTCCTGCTTCCTTGCCAGACTACTGAGCCTCTTATATCAAAAAGGAAGGCAGTTCTGCAGAATTTGGAAGTGTTACCAGAAACACCATCCCCTGAACTACAGCAGCTGATAGAGGTCAAACAGCTTGAGGAGCAAGGAGAAGACACTTTACAGGAACTTTGTATTTTCTTGGGAAATATTGCTTACAGACTTGACTTTGGCAAACATTTCAGAGTCTTTGCAAAACCAGTTGATGTGCACAAAGTACCAGACTATGTGACAGATTAAGCAGCCAGTGGATCTTTCAGTAATTGTTCAGGTACGAGCTCTCCCTCCTCTGCGAGGACAGATCTGCATGTCCCCCCCCAATAGCTAGCAATCCAAAACAGTCCAGTGGAGCCTGAGCGGTGGGTGTTGCCTTCTGACACACTTCCGGTGATGTCAGGGTGTGTGGCATATGCAAATAAGTTATGCTAATGAGTTATGCTAATGAGCTCCTGCACCTCTTTTTCTACGAAATGACCCCTGTCTATGCCACCCTTGTTTCAGAAAGATCATGAGCCGAAGGATGGTTAGATACGTTTCAGAGGTAGTTTTGCCCCTGCCTGCCTCTGCGTCCCGGCCCTGGTATTCCTCGGAGGTCGCCCTTCCAAATACTAGCCAAGGCTGCCCCTGCTTAGCTTCCGGGACTGGGCTAGCCTGGGCTATCCAGATATTTTCCGTCTAACGCAGGTGTCTCCAAGATTTCTGAGCTTGCGGGCACCTTCTGACCTAGTGTGGTGGGTAGCTACCACATAGCCACAAAGTGGCTGTTGCACGAGGTGGAGCCAGCTACACAATGGCTGCCCCAGATTATCTTCAGTCGCAGAAGGAAGATTCTCGTGCTGTGGTGGCAGCTGCTGCCAAAGGAGTCAAATCTCAAGCGGCCAATCAGAATCCTTGCCGGGCAAAAGCCCCACTTAGACCCGCTCACTCTCTAAAAACACTGGGGGGGGGCACCAGAAATGGTGTCAGCGGGCCTCATGGTGTCCACGGGCTACACGTTGGGGACACCAGGTCTGCGGTGGGAGGAGGTTGTTTGCAGTCTTATGTTTTTATCTGAAAGAAATGCTCGCTTCTGTAAAACGCTTCTACTTACTTTAATTTCCCGGGCCCCTGCCCGTATCCTTTCGTCTCCAGTTTCCGGTAGAAATTCCTCAGCTTGGCTTCGAAATCTCTTTTGTAAGGAGCCGGAGCCCGGGCGTTGGCACGCTGAGTCCCTGCAAGAGAGTCGGGAATCCAAGCAACATGGAAACGGCACAACAGCTTCACGGGCACAAATTGTGAACCGCAGTGAGTGAAAAGGGGTGGGGTAATCAGAAGACAGACTGGGAACCACCAGTGCAGGCCCATGACCAGAAAAAAGTTTATTGGGGTGCGCAGAAATGAGTACAGTGGTGGCCAGCCCATCCTTATTCATTTACTTTATTATTTATTTATACTTTATTAGCTATTTCCCAATTTCCTACTTAAGACTCAAGGTGGATTACGTGGTATAGAACATGGTAATCAGACAGCACGGGGAGATCTAATTAGCAATACAGTAGGACGGGGCTTACAAAAGGAGAAGAAGAGACTGGATTTATACCCCGCCCTTCACTACCCAAGGGAGCTCAGAGTGGCTTACAAACTCCTTTCCCTTCCCCTCCCCACAATAGACACCCTGTGAGGTAGGTGGGGCTGAGAGAGCTCTTGACAGAAACTGCTCTTTTTCAAGAACAGCTTTGACAGAACTATGGCTTACCCAAGGTCATCCAGCCAGGTGCAAGTGGAGGAATGGGGAATCAAACCCGGTTCTCCCAGATTAGAGTCCACGCACTTAACCATTACACCAAACGGAGAAAAATGCAAAAAAGTATCAAACATGCTATATGTCAAGTAGTGCAGAAAACGGAATTACAAAAAATGAAAACAGTGCTGTAAGAGCATGATAGAACAGACGACAAATCAATAATATAGAGCATACACTGTGTCATCGACTACAGCCCTGATCTGTATAAGCTTTATAAAAAATGCCCTCCCAAGCAACTGTTATATATAGTTTGCAGAATTAAAGAAGTATGAGAGCCTTTGTCCAGTTACTGAAACCTGAAACTGTAAATTTAACCTTCTTTACTCTGTAAATGACTAGCTCAAGGCTTCTCATGGTGCCACCCAACAAATGGGAAAGATCAGCAACTGCCCACACACACATATTTTCTGTTGTGGCTCCCAGAAGAAGAGATTGGATTTATACCCTGCCCTTCACTACTCAAAGGAGTCTCAGAATGGCTTAAAATCTCCTTTTCTTTCCCCTCCCCACAACAGAGACCCTGTGAGGTAGGCGGGGCTGAGAGAGGTCTTTCGAGAACTGCCCTTGAGAGAACAGCTCTGAGAGAACTTGTGACTGACCCAAGGTCACATCAGCAGCTGCATCTGGAGGAGTGGTGAATCAAACCTGGTTCTCCCAGATTAGAGTCTGCGCTCCTAACCACTATACCAAACTGGCTTCCACAGTTTTGTCATTCTGCCAACAATGTAAAACAGAATGATTCAAGAGGGCATTTGAATAAAGGTAATATGGTTATACGATAATGAAATGGTTCAGGAAGGAGCTTTTATAAAATGAACAGGACTGTGGACTGTATCACGGCATATTATGTAATATCTCTTTCCTGTATGCATTATCCTGCTCTTACCGCACTACTTTCTACCTACCTACTATCATTTTCTGCACTGTCGGACATACCACGTGTAATTATTTTTGTTTCAGATTGCTGCAATCCTAGTCCTATTGCATTGTTTATTAGATTTCTCATGTGCATCATTGCACTGACTTACACACACTGTGTAATCCGTTTTGAGTCTCAGCGAGAAAGACAGACTATATATCAAGTAGATAAAATAAAGTGCGCAGGATCTGGCTGTGAGTAGGATTGTTTTCTAAGTGAACAAACATAGAGTCAAGCAACAGTGTCATGATTCCCGAGGTGACCACAGGTGGGATCCTCTCCCAGCAACTTTCCATCTTCAGACCAAACACCACAACCCTCTCCTGTGAATGAGACTCCTGTGGGTTAGCATATATTAGCCGAAGAAGATTGGTGCTCACTTACCTCTGAACCGGGGATCCTTATAACTTGTCCCCTGTTCTGTCAAAGATAATTTCCCCAAGTGATAAGAGTTCTACAGGAGTGTTAGGAAACACTGTCCTGTCCTGTCTTTTTCTTTACTTTCTTCTGAGTCTACTACGACACCTTTTTCATCCCCTCATCTCTTAATCTCTCTCTCTCTGCTTTCCTCCGACATGATTTCACTCCCCGCACCTCTGCGGGCTTTTAGAAATCAGGCCTCTTCAGCCCTGCTAACTGCTAATTCAGTTCTAGTCAATTTCATAGAGAATTCACCCTTGGAAGATTTGTGACGGGATTCACACTTTTTTTTTTACCTCCTTCCTTTTTTACATAGAAAATTTATACCTGAAAGATATGTGAAATCTCAACCAGTAATGCTGATTGGAGGGGGGAAGAAGAAGAAGAAGAAGAAGAAGAAGAAGAAGAAGAAGAAGAAGAAGAAGAAGAAGAAGAAGAAGAAGAAGAAGAAGAAGAAGAAGAAGAAGAAGAAGAAGAGGAGGAGGAGGAGGAGGAGGAGGAGGAGGAGGAGGAGGAGATTGGATTTATACCCTGCCCTTCACTACCCAAAGGTGTCTCAGAGCGGCTGACAAACTCCTCCCCCTCCCCACAACAAACACCCTGTGAGGTAGGTGGGGCTGAGAGAGCTCTGACAGAAACTGCTCTTTTTCAAGAACAGCTCTTATCAGAACTATCGCTTGCCAAGGTCATCCAGCCAGGTGCAAGTGGAGGAGAGAGGAATCAAACCCGGTTCTCCCAGATTAGAGTCCGCGCACTTAACCACTACACCAAACTGGCTCTCTGACAAATGATTGATGGGGCACACACCCCTTTTCCCACCACTGTGGCTACGGGGACTGGTGGGACCCTGGACAATTTCCAGTGGGTCACCTGGTGCGTCCTGGTTATTTACTTTTTAATGAAAATGTATATGCCAGCTGCTAGAAATGGTTTATGACTCACAAAACCATTAAGACACATCCATTAAAAGACTGGATGATGCCATTAAAGCACAACAGGTTACTGGGATTCATGCAAAGAAGACTGGACCAGGATTTGACTCAGCAAGTCCGTAAACAAAAGTTTGCATTCAGGATCATTTAATACAGACTGTTTACACCTTAAATGCTTCATTCATAATTGTGTGCCATCAAGACACAAATAACTTATTGCGACCCCAGGACCAGGGGTTTCCAAGGCAAGAGATGAGCTGAGGTGTTTTTACCATTGTCTGCCTCTTCATGGCAACTCTGGATTTCCTTGGCAGCCTCCCTCCCAAGCACTGACCATGGTCCTCCTTGCTTAGCTTCCAAACTCTGATGAGATCAGGCTGGCCTCAGCTATTAGGGCCGCTACGAGAGATGAGCAGAGGCGGTTTGCCATTGCCTGCCTCTGCATAGCTACCTCCGTCTCCCTTCCAAGCGCTGGCCATGGTCAACCCTGCTTAGCTCCCAAACTCTGATGAGGTCAGGCCAGCCTGGGCTATTAGGGCCGCTGCGAGAGATGAGTAGAGGAGGTTTGCCACTGCCTGCCTCTGCACAGCTCCCTCCGTCTCCCTTCCAAGCGCTGGCCATGGTCAACCCTGCTTAGCTCCCAAACTCTGATGAGGTCAGGCCAGCCTGGGCTATTAGGGCCGCTGCGAGAGATGAGTAGAGGAGGTTTGCCACTGCCTGCCTCTGCACAGCTCCCTCCGTCTCCCTTCCAAGCGCTGGCCATGGTCAACCCTGCTTAGCTCCCAAACTCTGATGAGGTCAGGCCAGCCTGGGCTATTAGGGCCGCTGCGAGAGATGAGTAGAGGAGGTTTGCCACTGCCTGCCTCTGCACAGCTCCCTCCGTCTCCCTTCCAAGCGCTGGCCATGGTCAACCCTGCTTAGCTCCCAAACTCTGATGAGGTCAGGCCAGCCTGGGCTATTAGGGCCGCTGCGAGAGATGAGTAGAGGAGGTTTGCCACTGCCTGCCTCTGCACAGCTCCCTCCGTCTCCCTTCCAAGCGCTGGCCATGGTCAACCCTGCTTAGCTCCCAAACTCTGATGAGGTCAGGCCAGCCTGGGCTATTAGGGCCGCTGCGAGAGATGAGTAGAGGAGGTTTGCCACTGCCTGCCTCTGCACAGCTCCCTCCGTCTCCCTTCCAAGCGCTGGCCATGGTCAACCCTGCTTAGCTCCCAAACTCTGATGAGGTCAGGCCAGCCTGGGCTATTAGGGCCGCTGCGAGAGATGAGTAGAGGAGGTTTGCCACTGCCTGCCTCTGCACAGCTCCCTCCGTCTCCCTTCCAAGCGCTGGCCATGGTCAACCCTGCTTAGCTCCCAAACTCTGATGAGGTCAGGCCAGCCTGGGCTATTAGGGCCGCTGCGAGAGATGAGTAGAGGAGGTTTGCCACTGCCTGCCTCTGCACAGCTCCCTCCGTCTCCCTTCCAAGCGCTGGCCATGGTCAACCCTGCTTAGCTCCCAAACTCTGATGAGGTCAGGCCAGCCTGGGCTATTAGGGCCGCTGCGAGAGATGAGTAGAGGAGGTTTGCCACTGCCTGCCTCTGCACAGCTCCCTCCGTCTCCCTTCCAAGCGCTGGCCATGGTCAACCCTGCTTAGCTCCCAAACTCTGATGAGGTCAGGCCAGCCTGGGCTATTAGGGCCGCTGCGAGAGATGAGTAGAGGAGGTTTGCCACTGCCTGCCTCTGCACAGCTCCCTCCGTCTCCCTTCCAAGCGCTGGCCATGGTCAACCCTGCTTAGCTCCCAAACTCTGATGAGGTCAGGCCAGCCTGGGCTATTAGGGCCGCTGCGAGAGATGAGTAGAGGAGGTTTGCCACTGCCTGCCTCTGCACAGCTCCCTCCGTCTCCCTTCCAAGCGCTGGCCATGGTCAACCCTGCTTAGCTTCTCAGCTCTAATGAGATCAGGCTTGTCTGAGCTGTTAGGCTGTTCTTACAAGCTTAGTTCTCCTGAATAGGCACTCTTGTCTCTAAAGCTGAAATGCATTGGCAGAATCCAGGGTTTAAAAAAAAGTAAAAGGAACCACCCGACCGATGTCAGCCCCCCCCCCTCCATAATCTGTGGGTGGCTCTAAACATTCACTTGCTAGAAAGCATCCAGACTGACAGAAAGCAGGAGGGAAGGCTTTGTCTGGTATTTTTAAAAAATCACACAAACCTTTTAACTGAGCTAAAAACAGCACCCTAACCTCATCCATTAAAAAGCAAAATGGAAGCTGTATGCAATTAATTCAAACTCAGATTCTCTTTCCATAAGCAGAGTCTTTGATCGCCATGGAAAATGCACATTAGAACATACAACCCTTGAGTGCATGTTATTGGAAACATATGAACACCACACACAAGGCGTTCGGAGACACTTTGAAAAAAACAGCATGCCTGGCATTTTTTTTAAAAAAAATTCACATCTAGTTTAATCAGTAATAGTCGACTGTGAACTTAATTGTTACTTGAGCCCTCAGAAATCTGCTTTCAGCGTCTTGTATGTATGACACATAACCAAACTCGGGCTTGGTTCGGAAACTTAGCTGCTTGGAACCAGGGACACACACAGATCCGTCTGCAGAAAAGCCACATTTCCCCATATGCATTCACTTACTGCAACTGGGTAAGCAAAGCAGGTAACTGAACCACAAACGCTATCTTGAGAGGAAGCTTTGGTATGCTCACTTCCTATTTTAATTCTGTCTTTCTTCCAGGGTTGCAGGCTCTGTTATACGCAGGGTGCACTTCAACTTCTCAAGCATCTTCCTGTTTCCTGCGTCTCACAGCCTGTGCACTGCGCTGCCTCTTAAAATGTCTCACCTTTCCAAAATATGTTATCAAATCCGAGGCGCTACATGTCCCAAGATGATAACTCCACTCTTAACAAGCCCCTTTGTAAGTGCGCTAATAACATGGTGTTTGTGCAAAGCTCAAATGTCAGAACAAATATTCAGAGAGAAACAGAGATGTGGGGGAAAGAACAGAAAGGTGAAGAAGAACATATCATAGCATGAACTGATCTGGCAGCAGCCAGATCCGCACAGGGATCTTTATTTCTCGTTTGGGTTAAAAAAGGACACACCAACCCCAGACAGATCTGAGAGAGGGGTAACTCTGATCTGAACACGTGCTTAAGGGGACACGACTGCAAGCGGCATGTCACTTCCTGTAAAAAAACCACCATAAGTTACCAAGGTAGCTCTACAAATACCCACTCTATGGTAAGACCATAGAGTTTGGGGTGGTTCCTAGAGATGCCCATAGTTATTCCTCTTTTTTTAAACCAAATCCGCACAGGGATCTTTATTTCTTGTTTGGGTTAAAAAAGGACACACCAACCCCAGACAGATCTGAGAGGGGGGAAAACACTGACTTGAGCACGTGCTTAAAGGGACACAACTGCAAGAACAGAAAGAAAAGACAGAAGCTGGATCAAAGCTGAAACAGGGGACAGGAGAATTGTGGGAAGGGATATGTTCTGTTTATCTGTGGCTGGACATTAGCGACATACGCAAAGGCCCACAGTTTTTAATTTCCTCCCCCCCCCCTTTCTTGTTATTATACAAGACCCAATCCAGGTGGTCAGTCATTTTGGTCTGAAGCAGTGGAACAAATTTAGAGTCCAGTGGCACTTTTAAGACCGACAAAGGTTTATTCAAGGCAGTGTTCCCTCTAAGCTGAGTTAGTGTGAGCTAGCTCATGGTTTCTGAGCCTCTGGCTCACACATTTTTGTCTTAGCTCAGGAAGGATGGCTCCAGAGCAAACTAATTTATGCAGTAGCCAAATTGCTCGCTCACAACTTTAAGGCCAGTAGCTCACAAAATAGAATTTTTGCTCACAAGACTACACAAAAGCTCATACCTCGAATAAAACTTTGTCGGTCTTAACGGTGCCGCTGGACTCTAAATTTGTTATACAAGACCGGACTTAAAGATGTAGCATGGCAAAAATAAAATATCTTTAAAAAAAAAAGAAAGATGTAGCATGGCAACTGATTTCTGGAACGTATTATCACATGTTTCATAAACTGACATTAAATTGTCCTCTTGGCACGTGACGTGTTCTCACTGCAAATCAAGATTCTTCCGGGCAATTACAGCAATTATGTCTGACTTAAGAACAACAACACAGTGGCGGGGTTATTATGACTGCTCCAGACTGAGGTGTGTGCGTGTCCTTTAGGACCAATAAAAAAGCAGTCTCATCACTATTTCAATGCCCTCCAAAGGGGGCCATAAAGCAGTCTGATTAGGGAAAAAGGCTGCCAAAAAGATCAGTGCTCGAAACCGTTGGGTTATATATTCTGTCTCTCCACTCCATGACGAATGCAACCTTCGTCCATCCCAAGGAGTCTTCTTCTACCTTGAGAAGCCTTCCACTGGTAGAAAAGACTCATCTAGCAGAGGATAAAGCCCACTGACTTTGAACTTTATGACAAAGTACTTTCGAGACATACAGATCTTTAGGCCAAATGCAAGAGTGTATGAACCTGACAATTTGTGTATGAATTGTGTACAAAGAGTGCACAAATCTGACAGCTGCCCTAAGCCTGCTTTGGCGGAGAGGGTGGGGTATAAATCGAATAAATAAATAAACGAATAAAACTGACAAGCCTTCAGACTTCAAGCTGACATATTCACCTTCATTTGCTTCAAAAGACTGTTTCTTGCTTTGTGATCCTTTGGCGAAATTAAGCTAGCCCCTTAAAGCCCCAACGGAAATTATCACCTGCTCACGGAATATTCCTTGTTAAATTGCCAGGGGCTTCCATTCCCCAAAAAAATATCAGACTGAAAAAATGAGAATGTCAGACCATCAGAAGAGCCCTGCTGCATCAGACCTGTGGTCCACCTAGTCCAGTGCCCTGTCCCACGCAGTGACTAACCGGTTCCTCTGGATGGCCAACAACGGGGCATCGAGACTGAGGCCTTCCCCTGATCTTGCCACCTGTCTCTGGGATTTAGATGCTGACTGCCTCTGAATGTGGAGGCTCCCCTCAGTCACCATGGCTGGTAGCCATTGATAGACTTAACCTCCATGGATCTATCTAATCCCTTTTAAAGTTGTTTAGTCCTGTGGCCATCACTACATCTCCTGGTAGTGAATACCACATTTTAATCATTCTCTGTGTAAAGTAGCATTTCCTTTTTTCTGTCCTGAACCTACTGCCCATCAGCTTCATTGGATGCCCTCAAGTTCCAGTATTTTTGGAGAGAGAGAGAGAAAGTTCTCTTTGCCCACTCTCTCCACCCCATGCATCACTTTATAAACCTCTATCATATCTCTCCTTAGTCATCTCTTTTCTAAACTGGGAAGTCCCAGTCTCTTCAGCCTTTCCTCAAAGGGAAGGTGCTGCCACAGTTTCCGAAAGGAAACTATAAACTTAGGTAAAGTGGGGTTGACGGGAAAGATAGAAAGAACAGTGGGATTCCATTTCAACACATTTGAGAGACGTCAAAATATGGCACCTGCTCCCACTATTATGTTCCTCCAGCATTAGAAGGGTTACCATCTCCGGGTTGGAAAATACCCAGAGATTTGGGGGGAAGGGAGAGACTTCAATGGTGTGAAATGCCATAGAGACCACCTTCCGAAGTGGCCACTTTCTCCAGAAACTGTAATCCCAGCTGTAATCTCCAGCCACTACTTGGAGGTTGGCAACCCCAAGAATCAGGAATCGTCACTATCACAGTCACGCTGTCACTTGTTGGGTCAAAACAGACATCTCGCTGCATGCAAAGCCCCACTGCTTGGAAGAATTTCCATGGCTTACGAAGGCAATTCTTTCGAGAAACGAAATTCGGCCATCGACGAAAATTCGCAATCGAATGGCAGCAGCCAAAGCCTTCTGCCCCGAGAGGGTTCAACTCTGTCCCACGGGTGGCCGCAAGATTAGGGGAGAGCAAAGCCTGCTGTGTTTCTTCTTAAGGAGTCAAGAAAACCTTAGATTAATAACTTAATTAATTTCTGTAAGGAAGACGGCCGTGAGGCTTACCTGGAGAGTTCTGCGGCGAGGACACCGGGGACCCTCGTGGCGACTGGCAATAACTGGGATGGAGTAAGGCATGCGGCGGCACATACGACATGATTTCTTCTTCAAATAAACTACAAGTGTGTGTGGGGGGGAAAGAACAGGGTAAGACGGACATGCATGTTTCTTTGAAATTTAATGGTGTTTTTTTAAAGCAATGTCCTCTAATGTCACATTGGTGGTGTAAAGCACCGTGAAGTCACAGCTAACTTATGGCGATCCCTGGTGGGGTTTTTATTTTATTTATTTATTTTATTTTTGGGACTTATACCCCGCCCTACCCAAAGGCTCAGGGCGGCAAGAGACATTCAGAGGTGGTTTGCCATTGCCTGCCTCTGCGTCATGACCCCAGTATTCTTTGGTGGTCTCCCATCCAAGTACTAACCAGGGCTAACTGGGGTTGTCATCCTCCCGACAGGGACGGGCCTTTACCAACTTTTGGGGCCCCCAATCCACCGCTGCCCCGCTGGCCGGCAGGGGAACCCCGCCCCCAAACAGTCCTGTCCGTGCCAACGTGCCCAGTATGATGACATCACTCTCAAATGCGAAAGCATCCCCCCACGACGTGCCCTGCATGATGACGTCACTTCCGGGTAATTGCACTGAGCATATCAGCGCGGATGGGACTGTTTGGGAGCGGGGCTGAACCTGCTTCGCTTCCGAGATCTGAGAGGTTACCATAGAGTCTTCCCTCAAATGCGAAAGTATCCCCCCGCAACGTGCCCTGCGTGATGATGTCACTGGGCATATCAGCGTGGATGGGACTGTTTGGGAGCAGGGCTGACCCTGCTTAGCTTCCGAGATCTGATAAGATCAGGCTAGCCTGGGCTATCCAGGTCAGGTTTTCCAAAGGCACATTGCTTTCTTCAACATGTTTGTAAACTCATTCTTGAAAGTTATGGCAGGAAGGGTTGGAACAGAGAGAGAGGATTACGCGCCCTCCCCTGTCTTTGGCCCTCAGTCACTCCCCACGAGAAACATTCTGTTCTAAACACCGGGCGACTGTGACACGTGTTTGCGTGAAATGTGTCGTTTCAGCCTCAAACGTTTCCATTTGCAAGTTCACAAACACAACTGCACCGTTTCTCACGTAAAACATTTTCTCATTTGAAGAATATCCATAAAATTACTTTTTGATGTGAAACCCATGTGGATTTTGCAAGAAGAGAAGAGATTGGATTTATACCCTCCCCCTTCACTCGGAATTTCAGGGCGGCTTACAAACTCTTTTCCCTTCCCCACCCCACAACAGACACCCTGTGAGGTAGGCGGGGCTGAGAGAGCTCTTTCCAGAACTGCCCTTTCAAGGACAGCTCTTGTCAGAACTATGGTTTGCCCAAGGTCATCCAGCAGCTGGAGTGGAGGAGTGGGGAATCAAACCCGGTTCTCCCACTATACCAAACCGGCCTCACAAGCATGGTTCTAGTTATTTGGCTACATCTGTTCAAAGTACAGATATGAAGCTGACGTCTACTGAATCAGATTATCGGTCCATCAAGGTCAGTAATATTTGTCACATGTATTTTCCCAAGCTATTCCTTCATTGAGGGGAAAATATTCACTCGAAGTCAGCTGTCAGAACGTTGGACTGGATGGGCCACTGGCCTGATCCAACATTGGCTTCTCTTATGTTCTTAACCTTACTCCAAATGGAGTTCCTTGGCAGGGGGAGGGGGGCGGGACACTCATACTTAATACCAGTGCTGCGTCAACTGCATTGGTTGCCAGATTCAAGGTGATGGTACTAACCTTTAAGGCCTTATGTGGCCAGAGACCAACTTCTATGGGACCAGAGACCAACTTCTATGGGACCGTCTCTCCCCGAATGTGCCCCGAAGAGGCTTGTGCTCTTCTGAGCAACACCAATTGGTGGTCCCTGGCCCGAAGGACGTCTGTCTTGCCTCGAGCAGGGTCAGGACCTTCTCGGCCCTGGCCCCGGCCTGGTGGATCACGCTCCTGGTTAAGACCAGGGCCTGCAAAACGGAGCTGTTCCGCCAGGCCTTCGGATGAGGCGACGGATGTCAACGGGACATTGGCCTTCCCCGCTTTAATCTGCCTCAGTTGCACCGCCTACATCAACTTGGCGCCGGTATCAACTGATTTTGGTTAGTGGAGAGAAATACCACCACCCCCGACATTGTCGTGGCATTCGCTGTGGTCAGACACTACACTATTAAGCTGCCATCAGGTAGTAACTTAATTACTGAAATATTTATGAGATGAAATGGTTTTTATGAATTCTTATTGTTTTATCATGTGTTGTGAGCACCCTTGAGTCCGCTGACAGGATAAGGTGGGATACTAAATAAGTACATACATACATACAATGCCACCAACGCACAGCTCTCTCCCAAACCAGACTCTCTTCATTTCTACATCAGCATTTGCTGTAAATCAGGTTAACATACCAAAACCACCCAGCTTAGATTACTGGCTGTACAACCAGCTCACTTACTGCAGAACGGCAGTGCTGGGAAATACTGACAGATGCTATTATTCTGAAGATTACCATAAAAGAACTAAGCAAGGGAAGCCTTGTCCTGTAAGGGTGGTAAGGGAAAACTAAAGGACACGATACAACTGCTCACGTCATTTCGTGCCAACGGCAGCCGCTTCTTCCAGTAAACTGTCGCTATGAAAGCTACATACCACACTTACAATTTTAAAAAAGGTGAAGGTCTCCCTTGCTCAAAAGCCAGTCGAATGTGACTCTAGGGGGCGGTGCTCATCTCCGTTTCCAAGCCGAAGAGCCAGCGCTGTCCGAAGACGTTTCCGAAGACGTTTCCGAAGCTGTTACCTTCCCACTGAAGTGGCACCTATTTATCTACTTGCAATTTCTTGCTTTCGAACTGCTAGGTTGGCAGGAGCTGGGACCAGAGACGGGAGCTCACTCCATCATGCGGCACACTCGGGTCTCGAACTGCTGACCTACCGACCTCCCACAGCCTGCAGTTCAGCGTCTTAACCACTAGAGCGTATTTCCTTTCCTTCCCCTTTTTTAAATGCCTCCCATTACACCTAATTACATAGGTGCTGTTCTGCAAATCTATTAGAATAATAGAATCATAGAGTTGGAAGGGACCGCCAGGGTCACCTAGTCCAACCCCCTGCACAATGCAGGGAATTCACAGATACCTCCCCCTCCACACCCATAGTGACCCCTGCTCCACGCCCAGAAGATGACAAAAACCCTCCAGGATCCCCGGACAAACTGGCCTGGAGAAAAATTGCTTCCTGACCCCAAAGTGGTGATCGACATTTCCCTGGGCGTGTAAGAGAGGGCCACGAAACTAAGCACGGAGGCAACCCTTCCTGCCCTCCCTTCTCACGATCTGCCTACATTCACACAATCAGCAATGCTGTCAGATGGCCATCTAGCCTCTGTTTGAAAAACCTCCCAAGAAGGAGAGCCCACCACCTCCCGAGGAAGCCTGTTCCACTGAGGACTCTGTCAGGAAGTTCTTCCTAATGCTTAGCGCAAAACTCTTCTGATTTAATTTCAACCCGTTGGTTCTGGTCCGACCTTCCGGGGCGACAGAAAACAACTACTTTCCTTTCAATGTTTTTTGACATTGTCTGTACCTTCAACCTGCCTGTATGGCTATTTCCCACTCTTTCTCTTCTACTATTCCAGCATCTTTTTTTTAACACAATCTTTAAAAATCTCTTGTATCCAGATGGAACTGAAGTGACAATTGCACAAAGACAGCGTTTTGTAATTTAAAAAAAAAATGAAACGAAGACCCCGCACAGGCAATTATAGGATGAAGAAATCTGTGCAAAAGAGACCCTAATTCAGGATAAGGTAGTGGTAATAAACGCACGCAGTGCTATATGAATATCACCTTAAGTCCCGTTATAAAGGGGGTATACGATTTAAGCTGATCTGAATGGACAGGCTTTCAAAATCCTCTCAGATTCAAAGTCAGCTCTCTGGAAGCTTAACACTGATATTTCCAGCGTCTGAGTCCTCTGTTGCTTTTCTTCAAAGAACTGAAGCGGGAAATCACTGAGGTCATTAAATCAGCTCACGCCGATACGCCCGGCAGGCAGCAGGCATGTTCCACACGCATTCGTTACGGAGCAGCACCGCGTACCTACCTTAGTAACATGACAAGGTCTGCGTCGCTGGATAAGCGGACCAGCCCCGGGGTTCCTTCCGTCCGTATAAACTGGATCTTCTCCCTGCCGACACAGACAAAGTGTTCCAAAATGTCTCTTGCAAATAAGGCACTGATGTATCCCAGAGCGGCCAGGAAAAGCACCGGATAGATCAAGAAGACTTCTCGGCTGTCCCTCTGCATCTCAGACACCATTTTCCTGCCTGCCAAACCATGTCCGGGCAAACCTCATGACCCGCTTCACCACCACGGACCTCGCGAAGCCGCCGACTAACGTGTGCCGAGGAATGATTTTCCTGTTGCCCCCATCTCTCGGATGCCGAAGCCGCCCTCAGGTACCCAACCAATGAAAATCAATCCCTCGAGTTAATGCTAGCCGTGGCTCTGAATTCCAAGCAGGGGCACGAGCCCGGGAGGAGGACGTTGCTATTCGGAAAGAGAGCCGTTTCAAAAGACGTACACCTGCTGCCCCCGTAGCACTAATATCAACGAGGTTCACGTTTGTCGTTTTGGAAGCTGGCTGTGTGACAAGCACACGCATTGCAAACCCACGTTAAGTCATTCTGGTTATAACGTGTACCAAATCCCATGGCAGCTGGTTAAGCCAGCTACTTTCTCATCTATGTGCCTTCTGGATTTTTGACATGGCAAAGGATCTTAGGTTAAGACAAAAGACACACAAAAGCCAAAATTAAAATATAGCTACGCACATAGTGCTAATGTACAAAATGTCATATATAATTTCATTACACATCCAAAAGTACTAAAATACCAATGAAAAAGAGAGAAGAATGAGAAGAGATGGGATTTATACCCCGCCCTTCACTACCCAAAGGAGTCTCAGAGCGGCTTACAAACCCCTTTCCCTCCCCCTGGCCACAACAGACACCCTGTGAGATAGGCGGGGCTGAGAGAGCCCTGACAGAACTGCCCTTGAGAGAACTTGGACAGAAACTGCTCTTTTTCCAAGAACTGCTCTTATCAGAACTACGGCTTGCCGAAGAAGAAGAAGAGGAGGAGATTGGATTTATACCCCGCCCGTCACTACCCAAAGGAGTCTCAGCGCGGCTTACAAACCCCTTTCCCTCCCCCTGCCCACAACAGGCCCCCTGGGAGGTAGGCGGGGCTGAGAGAGCTCTTTCGAGGACTGCCCTTGAGAAAACAGCTCTGAAGGAACTTGTGACTGATCCAGGGTCACACCAGCAGCTGCATGTGGAGGAGTGGGGGATCAAACCCAGTTCTCCCAGATTAAAATCCACGCTCTTAACCACTACACCAAACTGAATCTTATCCTGTGGTTCTGCATATAAGTACCTACTCCTAATATAAAGACAAATGTCCAATCATATAAATACATGTTAAATGGTACAAATGATATCCATAGACAAGAACCAATACCAAACACATTCCAGCTAAAAGCCTTCCTCGGTGGTAAAATTAAGACTGAGCATTCCATAAATTTAACAAAAATATACATAAATCACATCATATACTTATTCACACTGAGATGTTCACCCGTGGAGTAAGTGGTGATAAACAATCTTGGGATGCAACACGGGCAACTCATCAAGATGTACAACATTTCACATGCCCCTGGATCTGCTGTGCTTGAAGCTCAGGTACAACTAGAAGAGAATCCTCTTGAAAGGTGCATTTGCCATATTGTGGGAAGCAGGCAATATGCTGAGAGCCAGCAGATAAGTAAATAAGTAATCTCCCCCCAGCCATGCTACATGTGTGTGCATTTGTTTAATGGTTTATGTGTTTTATTTAATTGGTGCTTTTCATTGTTCTCATAATATGCATTTTTAAACTCTTAATTACTTCAATGGTTTGCCACTCCAGGGACCCTAAGTCAAGTGGGAAAGTAGTACAATGCTTAAGGAAGAAGAAGAGGAGGAAGAGGAAGAGGAGATTGGATTTATACCCTGCCCTTCACTACCCAAGGGAGTCTCAGAGCGGCTTACAAACTCCTTCCCCTTCCCCTCCCCACAACAGACATTTTGTGAGGTAGGTGGGGCTGAGAGAGCTCTGACAGAAACGGCTCTTTTTCAAGGACAGCTCTTGTCAGAACTATGGCTTGCCCAAGGTCATCCAGCCAGGTGCAAGTGGAGGAGTGGGGAATCAAACCCGGTTCTCCCAGATTAGAGTCCGCGCACTTAACCCTTACACCAAACTGGCTCTCATTTAAAATAAATGAATAAAAAGTAAACACACAAAAGTCGCATTTTGTAGGGACTACATCAGAGTATGCCAAAGCTACAAAAGATCCGTGTTGCCCTTTTTACACAAAACAGTGACTGCGTGTACAGAGACGCAGGGAACAGCACGGCGAGACGGTCGTGTCTGAGCGCGCCGGCCACTTCCGGGTTCACTTAAAGGGTCTCACGATCGTTTGGAGACCCCCCACCCCCCAGGGAAGGGGTGTGTGGGTTGCAAGAGGCTTGATCCGGTCCCCTGTGTTGTGGCTACTCACAGGGAGAACCAGAGATCGCCTCCAATGCTGGATTCGAAGAGGAGCCCATCTTTCATGGGCAAAACTGTCGCTCCTGTGCTGGGGGGGGGGTTACAGAGCATTGCCAAAGAGACATTCTCGTGAGTAAAAAACTTTACTTGGGATATAGAGATAGATCTGTTTAAAGCTTCAGCCCTAAGAGAGGAAGAAGCTACGGTGGGTGGTTCTTCCCCCCCAAGGCATAAGCGGCCAGCGAGCAGAAAAAAGACTGAGAGAGCTTTGCTTTCACTTGCTAATTTAGGGCGATGCTCGAAGAGGAACTAGCCTAAGTAACTGCATGGTTTATAAAATTGATGGCAAAACTCCGATTTTCTAAGGACTACACCAGAGTATGCCAAAGCTACAAAAGATCCGTGTTGCCCTTTTCACACAAAACAGTGACCGCACATACCAAGAGGATCGTGTGTAGTGTGCTTTCCAGGTATGCCAAAAATTCTTTATTACGGTCATAGACCAGTATAATAGAAGACAATAAGTACCGATAAGGGAGCAATAAAATTATAAAATATAATGGGATCTAAAATTATAAATAGGAATCTAAAAATTTTAAAATACAGACATGATAAAATCCAGGTATGCAAGAGTGACGCGCCTGAAATACAATGACAGGAAAGGGATCCCTCTGGCCAGCTAATGCAGTGAAATGGAGCCCCCCATAGATGACACGGGATTTCTACACACTTGAGAAACTGTGCATATAACCTAGAGGGGGAAAACACTACCTCCCTAAGAAAACAAACTCATCTTGAAAAGTGTGGCTCTCGGGCATAGTCCATGACTGAACGTTCAAAGCAATAAAAGCCCTAGGAACTGAAAGAAGCAGGAAGGGATCTTCTTGGGCCAATTTTCTTCAGGACAACCAAGTCCGTGCCCAAAGTCCAAAGCAATAAAAGCCCTAGAGACTGAAAGAAGCATGAAGGGACCTTCTTGGGCCAATTTTCTTCAGGACAACCAAACAAGACGCACTCCCTCCCAGACTAGAGCTGTCAACCTCCCGCTATTGCAAGGGATTTCCAAATCAGTTTCCCCTGAAGAAAATGGTTGCTTTGGACTGTGGACTTTAGGCCATTGTACCCCAGTGGGGAGAAGAAGGGTACATTTTAATACCCGGCTTTTCTCTAGCCAACGGAGCTTCAAAGCAGTTTACTATCACCTTCCCCTCCTTTCCCCACAACAGGCACCTTGTGAGGCAGGTGGGGCTGAAAGAGTCCTGAGAGAACCGTGACTGGCCCAAGGTCACCCAGCAGCCTCATGAGTCTCAAAGCGGCGATGCCGGGGATTGAACCTGGGACCTTCTGCATGCCAAGCAGAGGCTCTACCACTGAGCCACGGACCCTCTCCATAACAATGATAAATGCAATAATAGTCATGAAACACAATTCATTAAGCAGGCATGGAAGTCTCCTATTTGACTTTGTAAGCCAGGGCCCTGATGCTCAAAGGTGAAAGGTCAGACAGTTAGGAACTTGTTTATCCACTGACCTTAGGTAACATGAACCAACACACAATTGCAAGGTAATGAGGCAGTCCCCTCCCCTCGCACCCAACAGGAGAGTCAAGGAGATCTAGCACTGTGTTCAACCGGTCTCTTCCTTCCTCTCTTTTTGGGCCCACCGCTAAGCGTTTGCAGAGGACAAGTAGGGCAGGAATTTATTTATTTTATTTATTTATTATATTTATACCCCGCCCATCCTGCGAACAGGCTCAGTATTCTTCTAGTACATATCGTTGCAAGAAAAGTTGCTGTCTTGGCCTTGCCCTTTGCCGTGGGGCGCCTTTCCACACCAATCCTGCACCACCCACAGGTAAATGTTGAAGTGTAAATAATGTTCAACAAGGCCCATACAAATAAGGCGCAATCGTTCCCTATATGGCCATAGTCTTGGCACTGTAGGCAGGTAACTTATATCCACTCAGGAAGGTAAATTACCCACTGTAGTGTATTCCAAAGCTGCCATGGAATGCATGATGTATGTGAAACATCTCATTAACTTGTAATGTTAAGCTTTGTCCTGGGCTAGGATCCAAATACATCCAATGGTATTGCTAGCCCAAGAAGTAACAAGCCAATCACTTCGCAGCAAGCTCCCTGAGCGGGAACAGCCATGATTGGTCCTTATGTGAACAACCTTATTGGTTGGTATGTGTACAGTGGGCGTGGCTACATGAGCCGGGAATGTTTAAAAGCAGGGCAACTGCAATGTAAAACCTGAACCGTGTTGTTCTGGCTATCAGAGGCTGATCCGTGTTGGAGTTGTGTTCGAGTTGAAGAATAAAGCTGTGTTCTTGCTGAATCACTCTCCGACTGCTTTGTTAAGCGAGTGACTTAACACCCGCCTACCATTTTATTTGTTTGTTTGTATTTATACCCCGCCTTGCCAGACAAGCAGGCTCACTCGCCCTGCTTTTCTCACCCTGACACAGAGAGTACTCCATCTTTCTGTGTTATACCTCTGAGGATGCCAGTCGCGGCTACTGGCGAAACGTCAGGTCCTACAATGCCAAGACCACGGCCAGGCAGCCTGGAAAATCTACAACAGCTAATGAACTCTGGCCGTGAAAGCCTTCGACAATACAATCATTCCCTATGTCTGCAAAAAGACAGATGCTTCATCTGAATGGTCTTGTTTTTATTGTGTCCCCTCAGGCCTGGAATTAGATCCTGACATATACGTAGGCGCAGGCATTACACACAAATCAGCGTTGTTGATCCCAAAACAAAGTAGCAGACAACTTTCACGCAGGAGAAGGAAGACCGATCCGACGCTCACCTGAGTGAATGATTCCTGGTAAGGTCTGGCTGTCGCTCCTGTAGAATTTCGAAGATATTGGGTTGTCGCAGAAATGCAACGATCTTGTCATTGTACGCTGAAAGAGAATCCGAGAGAGAGCACCTTACTGAGGAAAGAGCTCTGAAATATGGACTCCACTTCCTTCAGGGGTCACGTTCAAGTCCCACCTTGCCCCGAGATGGATGCCGTTCCCAGAAAAGGTCCATTTCCCAAGAAGACAAGTAGTGGTTTGTGCAGCTTTGCTAATGCGAGCCAAATCGAGAAAGTACGCACTCGTCCACGGGACAGGGCGAGCCAAACGCATCTCAAAGTGGAAGAGAGGGATTGGTCAGGCCGCACCCGGAGTCTTGTGTGCAGTTCTGGAGGCCTCACTTCAGAAAGGATGTGGACAGGACGGAGCATGTCCAGAAGAGAGCGACGAGGATGATCGGGCGGGGCCTGGAGACCAAGCCCTGTGAGGAAAGGCTGAGGGGACTTGGGAATGTTCAGTCTGGAGACGAGGAGGTGGGGGGGGGGACGACATGGTGGCTCTCTCTAAGTATTTGGAGGGCTGTCACTGAGAGGAGGGCAGGGAGCTGTTCCTGTTGGCAGCAGAGGAGAAGGACTCGCAAGAATGGGTTTAGATTAAGGGCAGGGAGGTACCGGCTGGATCGTAGGAAAACCTTTTTGACAGTCAGAGTTGTGCAACAGTGGAATTAGTGGCCTAGGGGAGGTGGTGAGCAGTGGCTGGACAAACACTTGTTGGGGATGCTCTAGGCCAGGGGTGTCAAATATGCGGCCCGGGGCCGGATTAGGCCCCCGAGGGGCTTCCATCAGGCCCACAGTGGAACTGGCCATCTCCTGCTTCCCGTTCTGCTGCTGCTGCTGCATCATAGCTTGCTTCGCCAGACTCTCTTAATCACTCAGCCATCTCATGTTTTAACCTGGGTCCTACACTCAGAACTCTGAGCATGAAATTTCTGTGGCGAATGTCAATCAATCAAAAGTAGGTTTGCAGCTCACAGAGCTGATGTTTTAAGCATGTTTTTATTTTAAGTAAAAAAAAACACCCTTGTGTTTGTGTCCTTTATAAAGTTTATATTTCCGCTACCTGGCATTACATTTTATGACACACATGGCCCAGCCCAACAAGGTCTCATTTATGTCAGATCTGGCACTTGTAACAAATGAGTTTGACACCCCTGCTCTAGGCTGGTCCTGCATTGAGCAGGGGGTTGGACTAGATGGCCCGGACGGCCCCTTTTAACTCCGTGATTCTATTACTCAAAGTGAAAAATTAGGACAAAAGCCATTTGGAATCCTCGGAGATTCAAAGTGGTGTGGGTAATCAGGGGGAGACTTGTGACCTGCCTTCAATAACTGCCATGGGCACCACCATCCTGGAGGTACCCGCATATCCCCAGAGGAAAATACCCATGGGTACTTGGGGGGGGGGCAAGAACCAGAATTTATCACCAGCTCCATGTCACTGCTTGATAAGAGTTGCCGGCTCTGGGCTGGGAAATACCTGGAGATTTTTTTTGGGGGGGGTAGAGCCTGTGGAGGGCGGGATTTAGGGAGGGGAGGGACTTCAATGGGGTATAATCCCACAGAGTCCACTTTCCAAAGACTGTGTCAGGAGGAGAAACAGGAGAAGGTAGATAGGTGGGTAAGCCAGTGGGAAGTAAGGTAGCCAGTTCCCGCTTGGGAAATACCTGGAGATTTGGGGGGTGGAGCCTGGGGAGGGCGGGGTTTGGGAAGGGGAGGGACTTCAGTGAGGTAGAATGCCACAGAACCGACCTTCCAAGGCGGCCATTTTCTCCAGGAGAACTGATCTCTGTCACCTGGAGACCAGTCGCACACCCTGGAAAACTCCAGCCAGCGCCCGGAGGCTGGCAACCCTACTCTTTGGCAAGACAACCATCTACCTTCTCCCTCGGTTAACGTACAAAAGATTTTATTCAAAATTCACTTTTGTCACCACATGGACAAAAAATGTTTTAAAAAGCATTCGTTTGAGGTTCATAATTTCATTCTTTTCTCCCAAATCACGATAGGGCTGTCATCCCACTCACATTTTTTTTTCCTGGGAGTCAGCTCCACTGAGCACAAAAGGACTTGCTTTTGAGCAGGGGTCATTTCCTGCAGGAGTGCACAGCAGCGGAGTTCCAGCAGTAAAGAGCCCAGGGGGCGGGCACATGCAACAAGCCCCACCCCCTGCTCCCAGCAGCCCTCAGTCAGAGCAAGAAGCAGCCAGGTAAGTTGCAGAGCCCCCCCAGCCCCCCCGGTCCAAAACAGTCCAGTGGCACCTTTAAGACCAGGTTTTATTCAGGTACAAGCTCTCCCTCCTCT